ATTGGTGGGAATGCAAACCATTGCAGCCACTCTGGAAAACAGTATGGAGGTTCCTCAGAAAGTTAAAAATATAACTACCCTAGGGCGCCTGGGTGGCTCAGTCATTAAGCGTCTGCCTTCAGCTCAGGTCATGGTCCCAGGGTCCTGGGATGGAGCCCCACATCATGTCGGGCTCCCTGCTCAGCAGAAAGCCTGCTTCTCCCTCTCCCACTCCCCCTGCTTATATTCCATCTCTCACGGTCTCTCTCTCTCTGTCAAATAAATAAAATCTTTAAAATTATATATATATATATATAACTACCCTAAAATCCAGCAATTGCACTACTAGGTATTTACCCAAAGGATACAAACATAGTGATTCAAAGGGGCACCTACACCCCAATGTTTATTGCAGCACTATCAACAATAGCCAAACTATGGAGAGAGCTAAAATATCTATCGACTGGAGAATGGATAAAGATACACACACACACACACTATGGAATATTACTCAGCCATAAAAAAAAAAAGAGTGAAATCTTGCCACTTGCAACAACGTGGATGGGACCAGAGGGTATTATGCTAAGTGAAATAAGCCAGTCAGGGAAAGACAAATACCACATGATTTCACTCATATGTGGACAAAACAGATGAACATAGAGGAAGGAAGAAAAAAAAGAGGGAGGCAAACCATAAGAGACTCTTACCTCCAGAGGACACCCTGAGGATTGTTGGAGGGGAGGTAGGTGGGGGATGGGCTAGATGGGTGATGGGGATTAAGGAAGGCACTTGTGATGAGCACTGGGTGTTATATGTAAGTGATGAATCACTAAATTCTACACCTGAAACCAATATTACACTATATGCTAACTAACTAGAATTTAAACAAAAATTTGAAACAACAATGAATAAAGGTCAGGTACTGATAATTTTATATGCAAGTTTTACCAAGATAAACTGATTTAAAATAAACTTTTCAAATAAACGTGTAGAAGAAACACTCTTTACTCATTGTATGAGGCTAGCATAACTTTCATATAAAAATCAGACTAAAATAGGTTTATTATGTGCTTTTTACATGCACCTGCTCTTAGATTCCACACCTGTTTTGAGTGTTTGTCATGAAAAGGTGTTATATTTTATCCAAAGCTTTTTCGGCATTTATTGAGATGGCAAATAATTTTTCTCCTTTAATCTGCTAATGTGGTGAAGTAGAACACTCAACTTTCAAATAATAAACCAAACTTGCATTCTTGATACAAACCTTCCTTAGTCAGGATGTATATTTTTTTATATATTGCTGGATTCACTTGGGTACTATTTAGGATTTTGTATCTGTGGGTCACAAGTGATAGTTACTAGTTTATGAGTTTACACTTTTTATTAAATATTGAAAATATTTCCTTTAAGTATAGGAACAAGACAAGGATGCTTGCAATCATCACTTGTATTCAGCATACCAGAGGTCATAACTGTACAGAAAAGGTAAAAGGATTGGAAAGGAAGATACAAAACAGTCATTATTTGTATGTTGAAAACTCAACGGAGGCAACAAATTATTAGAATGAGAGATTCTAAAAAGGTCACAGCTACGAAAAATATATAAAACAGCCAGTTGGGGGCGCCTGGGTGGCTCAATCGGTTAAGCGTCTGCCTTCAGCTCAGGTCATGATCCCAGCCAGGGTCCTGGGATCACGCCGCGCATCGGGCTCCCTGCTTCTCCCTCTCCCTCTGCAGCTCCCCCTGCTTGTGCTCACGCTCTCTCTCTCAAATAAATAAATAAAATCTTAAAAAAAAAAAAAAGCCAGTTGTATTTCTATTCCCAAACATAGCAAGTGTAATTTTTAAAATGGTATTACTTACAACAGCACTGAAAACTATGAAGTATTTAGAAATAAATTTACTAAAATATATATAAGGGGCGCCGAGGTGGCTCAGTTGGTTAACCGACTGCCTTCGGCTCAAGTCATGATCCTGGAGTCCCAGGATTGAGTTCCCCATTGGGCTCCGTGCTCAGCAGGGAGTCTGCTTCTCCCTCTGACCCTCCCCGCTCTCATGCTCTCTCTTTCAAATAAATAAATAAAATCTTAAAAATAAAATATATATAAGACTTTTCAGGAAAAAGTATATAATTATATTGAAAGACATTGAAGAAGACTTAAATAAATGAAGAAAATTATGGATAAGAAGATTCAAAGTTATAAAGATGTCTATTCTTCCTAAATTGATCTATATATGGAACGCAATCCCTCCCTCTGCCCCTTCCCCCTCCCCCTTCTCATTAACTCTGGGAAAAAAAAAGTAGTTCCAGGTGGTGCTGATGCTGTTGGTCTGGGGACCAGTCTTGTGAAAACCACTGCTATTAAAGAAACTCTCGGGGCACCTGGGTGGCTCAGTCATTAAGCGTCTGCCTTCAGCTCAGGTCATGATCCCAGGTTCCTGGGATCGAGTCCCGCGTCGGGCTCCCTGCTCTGCGGGAAGCCTGCTTCTCCCTCTCCCACTCCCCCTGCTTGTGTTCCCTCTCTCGCTGTCTGTCAAAAAATAAATAAAATCTTAAAAAAAAAAAGAAAAGAAACTCTCGCACTTATACATTCAGGACATGTGCAGAATATTAATAATTTGCTGCTTCGATAACAACAAACCCAAACTAAACTGTGACACGATCATACAATGAGATACAGCTGTGAAAACAAATGAGCTCATGGAGAGGCGCGCAAGGGCTTCCAAGATACTAGCGATGTTCTAGTTTTTAAGCCAGGTGGACATTTTCACAGGTGTTCTAATTACTCTTTAAACTGTACACACGTTTGCATACTCACGTGTACGTGTACTTCATCATAAATCTTTTAAGTTCTGTTTCACTCTACTCTAGAGGCCGCTTTTAGGCAAACAGGCTTGAGGGCTGGAATGTAGAAAGGGCCACAGCGACCCCCTGGCTGAATACAGACAGGCCCATCAGGCGCCCCACCTCAAAATCTCCAGAGGCCCTCACTGACCAATGGGCTTATTACCAAAAACGGGAACACTCCATACGTCGCATACCTCCTCACCTTCCCCCTTTAAATACAGCACCCCCACAGGCCCCCACTGCCTTGTGGCAGATGGCCTCTCCTCTGCCGTCTACCTGCGCTCCCTCGCAGTGTATTCAATAAACTTCTCTCCTTTTTCTGCCCCAGGTCAATTCTTTCACCACCTGCGCCAGCTTCCACCCGATGGTCGCCCCACATGTGGGGGCCACCATCCAATTAAGACACCCCTTTTAGGCACATCTACCACCTACTGGCCATTTTTCTACTGTCTGGCCCTACACTGAATATGTCAAATCACACTCAGAACTTGAGTAAAAGGGGAAGAGGAACTGGGTCTCATCTCTCTACTGACTCGAATGAACACACATCACACCACCTCCACTACCTCCCCAGTTGCTCTCAACCATTTCTCAAGGCATTTTACAACCCTTCAAGTTCCGCATTGCTCTCCCATGACTGTAGGTCTCAAAATCAACACCCAGAACTGCACACAAAGCTCCGCATGTGGGCTGACACACTGTGTTAAAAACTCCCAGGCTGGGGGCACCTGGGTGGCTCAGCCGTTAAGCGTCTGCCTTCAGCTCAGGTCATGATCCCGGGGTCCTGGGATCGAGCCCCACATCGGGCTCCCTGCTCAGCGGGAGGCCTGCTTCTCCCTCTCCCACTCCCCCTGCTTGTATTCCCTCTCTTGCTGTGTCTCTGTCAAATAAATAAAATCTTTAAAAAAAGAAAACCTCCCAGGCTACTACAGATTCATTGGTACAGCCGAAAAACAGTTTTTGCAACTGTGCATATGGATTACTCATACTAACTTTATCTACTAAAATTCCCAGTAATCTTTCACACATGACGCTAAAGATACACCTAGAAAGTTGGCCTTTTGGGATCAAAAGAATGGACTTCAAACTTTTATCTTAGATTCAGCCCTTGTACCTTCTTTAGTTTTATCATCCATTTAGCTTATCTGCCATTCTCTGAGGAGTCCTCTGTTTTACATTCTTTATAAATTATAATCAGTGAGTCACCAATGATATTCAAGTTACTGATCAAGAGTTCAACAGAACCATGGTGCCTGGGTGGCTGTCAGTTAAGCATCTGACTCTTGATTTTGGCTCAAGTCATGATCTCAGGGTCATGGGATCGAGCCCGGCATCAGGCTCCTCCCTCAGCAGGGAGTCTGCTTGTCCCTCTCCCTCTTCCTCTGCCCCTCCCCCTGCATGCTCTCTTTGTTTCTCTAAAATAAACAAATAAATCTTAAAAAAAAAAAAAAAAAGAAAAAGTTCAACAGGACCAAACAAGTACAAAGACCTAAGCCAGATCACCAGAAGTCTTCCAAATTAATCTGTATCCATTAATGTACTCTCTGGTTACAGCCATTCAGTTGGTTATTAATCCTCCTTCACATTTTTCCATAAGGATATTAAGAGAAACTATTATAGGGGCGCCTGTGTGGCTCAGTCGGTTAAGCGTCTGACTTGGTTTTGGCTCAGGTCATGATCTCATGGGCCGTGAGACTGAGTCTCAAGTCAGGTTCCACACTCAGTGGGAAGTCTGCTCGAAGATTCTCTCCCCCCACTCACACATGTGTGCACTCTCTCTCTCCCTCTCAAATAAATCAATCAATCTTAGGAAAAAAAGAGAGCAAAACTATTACAAAATATAACACTATAATCTAAAGGAACTGAATATCTAGCTCCCTCTGGTCTTGCAGCCTAGTAACACTATTAGGATAATATTGCTGTCATCTTACACCATGATGAGGGCCACCCCTAGGGATCACAGAATGCAGAACTTCCCAGCAACTCTGTGGGGTTGCCATTCCTGCCCTTGGCTACCTGTTGCCAGAATTCTTTTAACTGGGAGAGAAATGAACTATTTTATGTAAAGGGAAAAAAAAAGCCGGGGGGGGGATTACACCAATGGATTGAAGTGATCCTAAAACCAAAATTCTAGCTTAGAGAGAATGAAGCCAAACTACACAGTATTTTTTTCTCCAAACAAATTTAATTCTGTTCCAGCCCCAAAGGGGAAGGACCTAAAGTTTAAAAACAAAAATAAAATAAAAATTGCAAAAACAAAACAAAAAAAACAAGCCATTAAAAAATTAAGCCCCCTCCCTTAGCAATAAATACTGAAATGATATATACACATGAGGCTCAGGAAGGAGGCAAGAAGAACAAGAACCTTGGGAACTCTGTCCCATGGCAAGATCCCAACCCTTCTACCAATTCCATGCTCTTTGCCTAAAACAGAAGAGCAATGAAAGAGGCAGCAGAGGTTATACCAGGGGAGCGTGTGGCCCCAGAGAGAGCTGGAACGGGATAAAAGGAGGGAAAGAAGAGACACACAGTGCCTCATAGGGCAGAGGAAAGGAAAGTCATCATCTCAAACATCCGCCCCGGCCCGGCCGAGTCCCGGGACGTCGCTGGTCCGGCGGCCAAGGGCCTGTGAGCTTCTCCTCTCGCGCCGACTCCTTCTTCAGCGTGCCAGTCAAGTAAGCTCATTCACACTGGGGCCGCGATGCCACGGTGGCAGCAGCCTGGCTACTGGAGCCCTGGGGCTTCCCGTTCACCACTAGCAGGAGGGGTGTTTCCACACGAACACTGGAAAAGCAATAGTCCTAGAAAAGACAAGCGCACAGAGGCTCACGACACATCCTGAGACGGAAGCAACTCCACAGGGATACACCACCTGGGACTTACTCCCCCTTCCTTGCCCCGCAGGATATACACCCCTTACCTCCATCTCACATTAAAGAAACGAAGCTGAGCTAGCAAAGGGATATAATTTTCCCCAAGTTTTCAATCTTCAGAGGGAAAATCTGGGGCAGGCGGGATGCCAGTAACATCACCACAAGAATGGGACAGTTCTCTGAAAAAAGACAGGTTCCGGCACAGCCTAGCCAAAGGGCACCACTAGCTTCCACATAATCTGCCCTTCCCAGGTTTCCTGACAATTAAAACTAGATACACACAGGGGCGCCCGGCTGGCTCAGTTGGTGGAGCATGTGACTCTTGATCTCAGGGCTGTGAGTTCGAGCCCCATGTTGGGTGTAGAGCTTACTTAAAAATAAAATCTTAAAAACAAAGACAAAAACCCAGATACACAGAGCCGCCAGTGAAAATTCTGAGAAACTCTTAGTCCAAGTGTTTGTAAGGCCCAAAATATATTTTTCATGTAAAAGCAGCATATAATGTTTCAAAGCTTTCTCCCCGGAGCTGAGAAAACTACAGAGAAACAATCGCTCACATCTACTGTTGGTACTAACTGGTACAATATTCCAAAAATTAACTTGGCAATATGTATCAAAAGTCTCAGAACTCTGCACACCCTTTGGAGCCAGAATTCTACCTTAGAAATTCATTTAAGTAAATAATCCTGGATATGGACAGATATAAATTTTTTCACTACAGTGCCTTTATGACAGGGAAAAGTGAGAAATAATCTAGATCTGGGGGCAGCAAATTTCTTCTGTAAAGGGCCAAGTAACAGTTTAGGCTTTGTGGGTCCCACAGTCTCTGTCACGGAACTATTCAACTCTGACACTGCTGTGCAAAAAGCAGCCACAGACAAGCATGAACAAATGAGCGTGGCTGGGTTCCAAAAAAATTAACTTGCGGACACTGAAATTTGAATTTCCTGGAATTTTCAGGTATCACAAATTATTCTTCTTCTTCCAATTGTTTTCATTTAAAAATACAGACATGGGGCACCTGGGTGGCTCAAATGGTTAAGCTTCTGCCTTCGGCTCAGGTCATGATCCCAGGGTCCTGGGATCGAGTCCCGCATCAGGCTCCCTGCTCAATGGGGAGCCTGCTTCTCCCTCTGCCTCTCTCTCTCTCTTATGAATAAATAAAATCTTTGAAAAAAATTAAAAAATAAAAATAAAGACACTATTCTTGTCTCACAGGCCATACGAAATGGGCAGGGGCCAGATTTGGTCAATAGGCCACCATTTGCCAACCCCTACTCTAAATGGTGAGCAAGTGGTTAAATAGCGACTCATGTAAGATTTCCATATGAAATGAGCCAGTACAGGCAAAAAAAGCTACCATTATCTACTAGCTGCAAGTCTGCACCCTTAAACAATATCTCCCCAGTTTGCCCACCCCTACAGCCCCTGGCAACTACTATTCTATTCTCTTCTCCTAAGTTGAGCTTTATTAGATTCCACATAGAAGTGATATCATACAGTATTTGTCTTTCTCTGTCCAGTCCATTTTTAAAATTCTTTTTTTTTACCAGTAGTTTCCCTTTCTAGTGTAAAAAAAAAAAATTACATGTATGTATATGTATGTCATACATATGCATATCATATATATACACACATACATATATATGCATTACTTTACATATTTGTTAAAAGAGACAAACTTGGCCGCACTTTCAGAGCCTATGAGCTGGGAAAAAATCCTGGCCATCACTCACTTTTCCTTTGTGCTGAATTCGGTGAAGCCGAAGGTTGGGCTCAGGAATGGCTACAGAGTCCCCAATGAGCACTCCCCAACTCTGTACCATATTATACACCATCACTGCATAGCAAGGTCCATCTGAATCTACCAGGCCAAAGGTACTGCCAGGTTAAGATGGGTTAAGGGAGGAAAGTGGGCAGGAAAGAAGAGCAAAAACAGTGGTTTTAAAATATCAACAAAATAAACAAATGCTTTCTCAGTTACTTATTTAGAAAACTTACAACAGGTACCATCATCCACTATGCATGTCTGAGTCCTCATCTGTCTTACATATATAGTATCTTTGATAAAGCATATGCACAAGACTCATCAGTCACTGTGCCACACACTTGAGACATCTGCATGCTGGGACCATTCAACAAATACTAATAATGAACCAGCTCAAAATGTTGCAGATGCAACATTATTCCTGGTCTATCAATTTAATCATCACAACCTTCCAACTCTCTAACCATCACTGTCAATTTCATTGAATCCCACAAACTTTCACTGAAAACCTATCATGTGTCAAGCTTTGTGCTTAGCAAGAAGACACTGATCCAGCTATGAGTGAGCTTACAGTCTAGCAGGAGGAGACACTTAAACCGTCACTTACAGGACAAGTGTGAGAGGTGCTAGAACAGACAGCTTTTCCCTCGTGCTGAGTTCAGTGAGGCCAAAGGTGGGACCACGGGAACCCAGAGGAGAAATGTTCAAAACTAGAAAGCAGGGAAGGTTTCCTTGAGGAGGAGACCCTCAAACGGAATGGTAAAGGATAAAAAATTATCTGGGTTACAAAAGGAAAACTAATCCTCAGTAGGAACAGAAAACTTCTGGGGCAGAATGGAAACGGGGATTAACCGGGACGGAACACAAGAGAACTTTCTGAGGTGCTGGTAAGTAATGTGCTCTATCCTGATAGGTGTTTGGGTTACACAGATGTATGTTAGTCAAAACTTAGCAAATGTACACTAAGATGTGTATATTTCATTCTATGTAAATTTTACATAAAAAGAAGAAAACTAAACAAATACTAAACTCTAGTTAATGACTCCATGCTGAAGTATTTAGAGGAAAGTATATTGATCTCTGCAATTTACTCTGCAATGCACCAAAAATAAGATGGATCAATGGATGAATAAGGGGAGAGAAAGATGTGTGAGAAACCAAGCGAGATATTGGTAGAATACAGGTGGTCGGGTACGCAGATGTTCACTGCAAAATTCTTCCAATTTTACCATGTTTGAAAAATTTCAAAATAAAATGTTGTGGCGGAAAATGTGAGCTGTATCAAGAAGGAGCCAAAGGATTATCCAGACAGACACAAACTGTGTGTAAAGGCACAGAGGCATGAAAACAGCTGTTCTGGAACCTACAAAATAATGCCGTGACAGGCACAAGAGGTACAAGTGGGAAAGTAAAAGAAGAGAATGGAAAGAGGCAAGCAGGGAGCAGATTATGAAGGACTCTGCATGCTAAGCTAACCTAAGAGTTCAAACTTTATCCTGAAGGGATAGGAAGTAGTAGGAAGGGATTTTATACAAGAAATGGCAATGCTCAGTTCTGCATCTGGGAATTATTTCTCTGCACTGTGGAACACTGGACAAAAAACAAGGAGTCAGAAGACGTGTCTGGAGAAGCAATAAGGGGCTATATTGAGTCTGTTGAGACAGAAAAGTAGGGACTAAAAAAAAAAACCTATATATATATATATATGACATGGTGAGTGCCACAATGCAGAAGAATGGAGAATTCTAGAACAACTTCCAGAAGTCTTAATGAAATGACTGAGCAGAAGCAGCACCACTGATTGACAAGGAAGTCAGGGAGGAGAAACAGTTTAAAGAGAAAGAGGAAGCGAGTAATTTTGGACATACTGAGTTAGAGATTTCTGATGGGAGCCCAGAGGTAGCTGGATATAGGAATCCAAAACTTAGAAATGAGGCCTGGACTGGGGATGCACCTGTGAGCACAGCAGGGGCAGCACGCTTTGGGTTTATGTGACATCACCGAAAGACATGACCTATAAATGAGATGGTGAAGAACTGAGGCTCACGCCATCACTTGGCACACCTGAATTCATAACCAACACTGCAATCAAGGCCAGCATTCTCCTGGTGAATCCAATCGAAGCCTCAGAACACTTCTACACAGTACGTTGGACAGCCACTGCCAAGTGACAGAACTTGGCACCTATTTGCCATCCTGGTAAAGGGAGGAAAGAGGAAAGGAACAAAAATAGAGTCCTCCTGGAACTCAACATTTAGAATTTAAGAAAAAGAGAAACCAAGGAGTGACAAAATATTTGTCTTCAAAGCCCCCTAAAATCCACCTTTGTCTATCTCTCCTTCTCATTCCTCTTAGTTCTAGGGTCTGCTCTAGTTAACTGAACTTTTCTCAACTATCTTCTTGATCTTCCACTCATATGTCTCTAGAGAAGTCCATGGAGAAAGCTCAGGCGTATAACGGGAAGTGTTTCAGTTTGGATGAAGCAGAAGTGATATGAAAGGGAACAGTGAGAGAGCACTCAGAATGTTGCGGAGCCACGTAGTGGAAGCCACGGAACCAGACACTGGTGATGCCAGACGAAACAAATTCAGTAGAAACCAGAAAAAGGAAACCAGTCAATGAGACATTAGGAAATGAGTGATGGACCAAGGAGGGATGAAACAGACTAATTTTTCAAGAATTAAAAATTTTCGGAGGCGAACCATGAGAGACTATGGACTCTGAGAAACAAACTGAGGGTTCTAGAGGGGAGGGGGGTGGGGGGATGGGTTAGCCTGGTGATGGGTATTAAAGAGGGCACGTTCTGCATGGAGCACTGGGTGTTATGCACAAACAGTGAATCATGGAACACTACATCTAAAACTAATAATGTAATGTATGGTGATTAACGTAATAAAAAAAATCTGAATTAAAAAAAAAAAGAATTAAAAATTTTCTTAAGTGAGGGGTGCCTGGCTGACTTAGTCAGTAGAGTGTGCGACTCATGATCTTGGGCTTGTGAGTTCAAGCCCTGCACTGAGAGTGTACAGATTACTTAAAAAAATAAAATCTTAAAAAAATATTTTTTCTAAATGAATGTTAACTCATTTCCTCTGCTAGATTGTAAGCACCTTCACTTGGATCCTTTACATTTCACTCCCTACCACACGTATACCAGATGCTCAATAAATATTTGTTGAATAACATCTAAGACAATCTCCCCATCAGGCCTTAAATTCTAACTCAAAGCTAACCTTCCAGAACTGCCTAGGCATACCTAAGTCCAAAGAGGACTGAAAACTCTCCCTCCTCCTACTTCTGTGATCATGAAAATACAAAGAGGCAGGAAAATTTCAAGGTTTCCATCTGCCTTATAAAAAACAGCATTCAGGCGCCTGGGTGGCTCAATTGGTTAAGCGATTGCCTTCAGCTCAGGTCATGATCCCAGAGTCCTGGGATCGAGTTCTGCATCGGGCTCCTTGCTCAACAGGGAGTCTGCTTCTCCCTCTGACCCTACCCCCTCTTGTGCTCTCTCTCTCACTCTCTCTCTCAAATAAATAAGATCTTTTAAAAAAATAAAAAATAAAATAAAAAACAGCATTCAGATTTCAGCTATGGATGTTGTAATCCACAGAGCACCAAGTTCCAGAAAAAAAAAAATGGGTGATGACAAAATCTAGGGAGAGATCATGAGTCATCACCTAGACAGTACCTGCTCACTGGACAGTCACAGAAGGAAGCAGAACGCACTCATCTGTGACCACTGACAACGTCCTCAACTGTCAGAGAAGGGCCAGGAAGTGAGATCCATTAGTTCAAAAGAGTGAAAAAGAGGAAAGGCAAGAGAAACTCACAAGGGGACCTTCTCTTCTGTGGTGAGGCTGAACACCACCTTTCCTAGGACCACGGCACCACTGTTCACACCAGGCTGTAGGGCACTCAGTGGCTTGAGCTCCAGGGTCAACTTCTGCCCAGAGGCCGACTGGTAGTGCCCATCACCACAAGGGCCTAGATGGGCTGGGCGCAAGCTTCCCAGCATGCTCTGCAACTTTTTGGTCTTCACCTTTCCCTGCCAAAAAAAAAGGGGGGGTGGGGGAATAGATAAGAAGATGTAAACTAGTCGCTCTGAGAGTCTACTCCTACTCCCACCTACCCACTTCTGTAGATAGAGTCACTGCAACCGAAGCCTACTTTATTCTTACTTTATTGACCCACAGAATAAAAGCAGAATTCAGCCTTCTGACACCTTTACCTTGCTCTCAAGGAAGCTGGTTAATCTACTCAGGAACTCCAGAAGCTGCTGCTCTCGTTGCTGGGGCTCCGGCCAAGCAGGGTCCAGGACTGCAGCCCGAGAGAAGCCCTCCAGGGCCTCCCCGTAATTCTCTTCATATTTATGTAACTGCACAAGAAGTAAATGAAAACCTCCCAAGTACATGTGTATCTAACACAAACTATGGCAGGGGGAGTGATGGCACAGTGTGCTAGGAATCTACAGAAATGAATCGTTTCCTTCCCCGTGGCTTTCCTGGTCTACGATGAACAGCCTGAAGAAACAGTAGTGCTTTATAGCCCTCACCTTGGCTAAGGGGTCACAAACCCCGAAGATGGAATTGTTTCAAAGACACTAACTTCCAAATTTGAAAATAGTTACGCTGCATACAGTGGGTCATTCTATTTTTATATTTATATTGAACATTTCAGAAAAGTCTTCTAAACTGTCCCTCTATCCTCTGTGTACCCTCCCGCCTCCTCGGCCCCATCCACCTTCCCGCCAGAGGCCCCATCCGATCCTAAAGTCAAACTGAGCCAGCTCTCCCTCAAAATAATGTGGCTTTCCTCCCGTAGTTTGTACTCAACCTTGTCCCTATGAATACTCAGTTATCGTTCCAAGCTAAGACCCAGCTGTCACTTGGGTGACTTGCAGACGACCACCACCCTGCAGGTCTTACCGTTGCCCTGTTCAGATGAAGATCAGGATTGCTGCAAGCTGTCCTGTCAACCTTCTCCTACAGAGAGAGAAAAAAACAATCAGGGGAACCTGTCTCACTCTTATGGATGGCCATGCCCAACATGCCCTAGACCTCTTCCCCCTGGAAAAATTCAAAGTTTCTTCCCTGTCAAAATGTTACCTATATCCACACTGTTACATAGTAACCGCTTGAGTAGTGTATTACTCAGTCCCTGACACCTCAAAGAAGTAAGGGTTTTTGTGTGCGCATGAAACTTTCTGAAATATGATTATAATTTATCCATGCACCAGCACAAAGATAAAAGAAAAGTATAAAAGCATTCTAATAAAAAAAAAAATTTTTAATGGTGAGATAATGATATCAATGAGGAAGGCCTAGAAAAGAAATGTCGTCAATTTAATACATTTCCTTTCCCCATAAGCCCAGCTCCAGATACAGATAGAAGCGTGTTTCTATATTCAAGCCCCCTTCAAACACCCACTAAAAGTCAAATTCTGATTCTCTAATTTAAAAGATGGCCAGAAACTACATGAAAGTTCAGGCAGATGTGCTGTGAAGAAACTGCTATGTTCAGGGCTACATTCAGCTTATTTTTCTGATTATGTTCATTGCCTAGCACATCACAAAAGTACAAACAACATGGATTAAAATTGTTTAAATGGTTGGTTTGAATATGTTTAAAAATGCAGGTTTGGGTGAAGAAATTAAGAATTAAAAGCAACAATTTAGCAGAAGCCAAATATAAAATTTTTAAAGAGTACACTGTTGGGGCACCTGGGTGGCTCAGTCAGTTACGCGTCTGCCTTTGGCTCCAGTCATGATCCCAGTGTCCTGGGATCCCTGCTCAGTGGGGGGCCTGCTTCTCCCTCTCCCTCTGCCTGCCGCTCTGCCTACTTGTGCTCTCTGTCAAATAAATAAATAAAATCTTAAAAAAAAAAAAAAAAGAGTACACTGTTACTATTTTTTTTAAATGTAAACATCCACCAAAGTAAGAAATTAGACTAAAATATAATCCCTCTGCCTTCAAGTTCCCTGATGGAAAAAAGGTCAGTCCCTAAACTACAAACATGAATAGAATATTCTGCCACACAGAATAAAATAAGTAATGGTAAGTTAAAAAGCAATTCTCCAAGTCAAGAGAAGCAAGAAAGCAAAAAAAGAAAGGTGAATATGAGGCCCAAATAAAAACTGCTCAGAAGGCCAAGGTGAACCTTCTGATAAAGAGTAATCAGGAGCTCAAGCCTGAAGGAATCCCCTATGTAAGCAGCTATTGATAGAAAAACGGCTTGAAAGGCCTAAACAAAGCATAAGCACCAGCAGATTAATCCTGAGGAAATGATGCAGAATGGGCTATATGCTGTTTTCTATTTTACAGCTTTTATTTTTAAGTCATCTCGCCACCCAACGTGGGGCTTAAACTCACGACCCTGAGATCAAGAGTCGCAGGCTCTACCAGCTGAGCCAGCCAGGTGTCCCTACTGTTTTTGATTTTAGCCTGTGGGAAATCCAGGCTTATCATGGGATAGCACTTAACTTATACTTAAGTATTAGAGCTTCCCTTTTTCTTTAAACACGTACACAAATATTAATAAGCATTATTTTTTTTTTTAAAGATTTTTATTTATTCATTTGACAGAGAGAGACACAGCGAGAAAGAGAACACAAGCAAGGGGAGTGGCAGAGGGAGGGGGAGAAGCAGGCCTCCCGAGGAGCAGGGAGCCCGACGCGGGGCTCGATCCCAGGACCCTGGGATCATGACCCAGCTGAAGGCAGACACCTAACCATCTGAGCCACCCAGGTGCCCCATAAGCATTATTTTAATATAGACTTTTCTCCCCACCACAAAAGATGAACACACTGGGATGGGCTCTGTGATTTGGTTATGAGCGCCGGTAGGAAATCCAGATAGTTCAAAGGCCTATCTAGCACTGTGGCTCCCTTGCCAGTGGTTGCTAACACTCCAGTTATAAGAAGTAAGTCACCTCTGTAGATAGAGCTCTGCAAAACCACACATCCTGGATGCCACTAAGTACTGCCCACGCTGCTTGCAAAAGAGCCACGCACAAGACTGAAAGACGCTCTTGCTTCTGCTGTGACCATAAATACTTACTGCTTGGGAATAGGCACTGAGGGCTTGCTGGGAGATCTTGGGGTTCTGGCCAGTATTGAAGTAAAGAGAAAGATATGCATTGCCCAGAATATCTGAAAGAGAAACAAAGGGTTTCCGGTTCCTCCTGTAAGGGGCTGGGAAGTCACCACTCCATCCTGATGGGCTGAAAACTCCACAGCTCTTCTTGGAGCCGTAAGACAGGGAACAACACAGGGCAAACTACTGCCCCTAAAACTGAAGAAAGACAGGCAAACACAGGGACTGTGGCTCACCAGGGCAGGAACTCCCGAGCCGCAGTACTAGTGCTGAGATAGGAGCACCCAAACTGTAACTGTAACTGACAAAGAGCTGGAGGGTCAATGTGGACAAGTCTGGGAGTCAGAAACTCCAGGGGTCCCAGGCCTAAGGAGGTCCCCACGATACTGTGAGATTTACCTCCAGAAGCTCAACCAGATTCCCACAGCAAGTATCCGAGAAAAATCCCCTCATACTTACAGCAGGGGGAAGGGGAGAAAGAACTTGTTCCGAAATGTGCTAGAGCACCCTGTTCTTCACAAGGCCTGCCCCCAGGAGAAACTAGCTAACCAGAGCCTAAATAACCTGAGGAAGGAAAATACCACCTGGCCATACCCATCCACGTTGGGGAGGGGAGACACCCAGCTGCAGCCCACTCTAGCCAACCTGCCCCACCTAAGTAAGGAAAAAAACCCAAGAAACACAGTGGTGAGTCGCCTCAGAGCCCAGATTCAAGATATGACCTATTTTGGTTACCCTCAAAATTCTACTTGAAAGGTCCCACATCTGACAAAACCCAGTGATAACACTGTATTTGGTATACTCCAAACTTCACAGGGATAAAGAGGCAAACGCAGACCCAAAGCAGAAACCTGAACAGACTGCACAAAAGCCCTGCCTTGCTTATGTGGAAACATAAGCGTCCTCTCTTGGATGATCGAAGAGTTCCTAAAACAGTGGTTCATCAAAATACCTTTCAGGTTGCTTCAAAACAAAGATGCCCAGGCTTGACACTTAGAATCAGACCCAACAGCAGGGCTCCAGAAGGTTCTGGCATGTGTAGCCATGTTGAGAACCACTGCTCTAGAAACTTGTTGGAGATCTTTTAAGAGCACTCACACCAGGAGCGGCCATCGTGGACATCCATCTGCACAGCCAACTTAGCCTGTCGGACACTGTCCATGACATGACGAGAATGTTCATCTCCAGTGTCCGTCCGAAGCTGGCGAAGGACCATGGACAGGTTTTGAAGGGACACTTTGTTCTTGCACTGCAAATGGAGAAGACACATACTCAACCTTCCTGATTCTATTTCCCCTTTCCAGATCTTTTCTATCTTAATCTTCTAAATCTAATTTCTCATCTTAATTCTTACTGCCATCTACAAGGATCAACTTGGCTGTTAATTTTTCTTCACTTCTCATCTCTCCCTGAACCTGATCCCATCATCTTCCTTTCTCAGTCCCCTGTCCCTGTTTTCCTCAGCCAGGTCTTCTCCCCACATCTTCCTCCCCTCTGATTCCATTCTCCTAGATCTAGCACAGTTCTATTCTGGTATTCATATCCTAGGGAAATTCACAAAACCAAAGGAATCTCAGCCTTCCCCATCTGTGTTTTCCAAGGGGACAGTAGACGGCTCACATGGGTCAGGGCTCCTGAGAAGCAGGTGTGGGCAGCCGCAATATCGCCTTTCTTCCAGTATACCTCACCCAGCTGGTTCCAGGCTTCCACCAGCTTGGGCTCCAGCTTCACAGCCTTTGACAGAAGCTCCTCAGCCTTAGGACTATAGTCAGGAGTCACATTCAGTGCCTTCCCAGTCAGCATCAGAACCTGTGCCTTGCCCTGGACAGAACCTAGGAGGAAAGGGAAAATGGAGGAAATTAGAAAAACCCAGGCAGTCTTACAGAGAGGACCAGGGCACGTTCTCTCAAGAAATAACCTCAGGTCGGCCCTACGAATGAAACAGTTGAAGAAACTCTTTATGAACAAACCACTTATTGAAAGCCTACCAAAGCCCCCATGCTTTCAATACCACTGAAAGCCTACCATTTGCAGAGTACTAGGTTAGGTTAATAGGGTAACTAAGAGAGCATTATCCCTACCTCGAAGGGGCTTACAATCTAGTGGACAGGACAAAGCATATTCATGGAAAATTAAAACAACGAGGGGCGTCTGGGTGGCTCAGTCGTTAAGCATCTGCCTTCGGCTCAGGTCATGATCCCAGGGTCCTGGGATTGAGTCCCACATTGGGCTCCCTGCTCAGTGGGGAGTCTGCTTCTCCCTCTGCCCCTCACCCCACTCGTGCTCTCTCTCTCTCTCAAATAAATAAAAAAAAAATCTTTTTTATTTTATTTATTTTTTTTTTTTTAAAGATTTTATTTATTTGACAGAGAGAGACACAGCGAGACAGGGAAACAAGCAGGGGGATTGGGAGCGGGAGAAGCAGGCTTCCTGCGGAGCAAGGAGCCCGATGCGGGGCTCGACCCTAGGACCCCGGGATCACGACCTGAGCTGAAGGCAGACGCTTAACGACTGAGCCACCCAGGCGCCCCAATAAAAAAAAATCTTTAAAAAAAATAAAACAACAATGAAAAGGGGCATATGGCATACACCCAATGAATGGGCTTTAAAAAGTGAAAAGGGGGGGGCACCTGGGTGGCTCATTTGGTTAAGCATCCGACTCTTGATTTCAGCTCCTGTCATGATCTCAGGGTAATGAGATCAAGCCCCGCATCAGGCTCCACACCCAGCAAGAGAGTCAGCTTGGGATTCTCTATCCCTCTGTTCCTCCCTCAGTGACCCCACCCCCACCATGCTCGCTCACTCTCACTCTCTCAAATAAATAAATAAATCTTTAAAAAATGTTCAAAAAAAAAAAAAAAGTGAAAAGGAGAAAAGGACAAGATCCTCCAGTTAAGAAAATGATATACACAAAGGCAGAGAGGCAGAAATCCAAGTGGCATGTACAAGGGAGAATGGATAGTCCATCCTGAAAGAAACAAAAAGTTCCTCTGTTAAGTAAGTAGTCACAGATAAGAGTAGAAGAAAGAAATACAAACAAAATGGTCAGATAATGGAGTCTTGGATACCAAATTAAGGTGTTTACACCTCAACCAGTCAATAGTAGGACTCTCTGATACTTGAGCAAAGAGGCAGACAAAAGGATAAGATTAAATGCATGAAGTAATAGTTAAAAAGATAATGGCATGGCCATTACATAAATTAATTTGGAAGTAAAAGAAATTAGAGGCAGAAAGGTCAATTAAGAAGAAGAGTTTAGGGGCACCTGGGTGGCTCAGTCAGTTGAGTGTCCGTCCACCTCTTGGTTTCAGCTCAAGTCATGATCTCGGAGTCTTGAGATCGAGCCCCGAGTGGGGCTCCATGCTCCGCCAGCAGGGAGTCTGCTCCCCCTCTCCCTTTCCCTCTGCCCTTCCCCCAGCTCACACACACTCTCTACCTCTCAAATAAATAAATAAATCTTAAAAAAAAAAAAAAAAAGAATAGTTTAAGCAACAGGTATTTCTTTTATTTCATGGCATTTGCTATAATCAAACTTTAGAAAACACAGTTTAGAGGACTAAAAGGTAGCCATCCTACACAGGGGCCCTCAGAAGAAATACTCTGTTGTACCATCCTGTAGCAGCCACAAATAGGATACCAAAGACTTCATAGAGAGAGAGCAAAACTCTATCGCATTTCAGCGAAGGGCAGGGGGTTGCATGCTCTTTGCCACTCATACCCACTACTTCCTCCATCTGCTGCAGGGTCTTCTCCATCTCCTCCCGCACATCCTGTTGCTTCCTTCCAGCATCCTCAACACCATGTGTCTCGAAATAGCACTCTCGAAACGAATACAGCTGATCCACCAGTGCCTAGGAAGTGTAAGAATAGTACCATTAAGAGAAGAGAACGCCAGACAAGGAAATTTGAGACTAGCTAGCCATACCAGCTCTGGTCTAGAAACTCGGATCCTCTACCTCACTGAGGAACGACACAAGAGGCCAGCGGACGGGTCTACCAAAATGCCACAGATCATAAAGAAAAGTAGCCAGGTCCCAGCACCACGCTCATGTAGTCCCATGCCAGTCCCGGCCCCATGATGATAGTTCTCTCTCCCCCAGCCCCAACAGGGCTTCCAGTATGACTAAGCACTTCATATACCACAGTCAAGGGGAGGAAAACACTTTGCAACTTGAGATAAAACAGTTAATAAGGTAATCCTATGCTACTGGTCCCCAGAGTACAAAACTTTGAAATGCACCCTTAAAACTGGACTTCCTAACAAAAACAATCATATCCCTGATTTTTCCTATGCTAGTATCTGAAAATACATGACCATTGTGATGATGATAAACATGTGAGAGCCATTCTTTTCCGCGACAAAGAGATCGATTTAAGTTTGAGGACCTTGGTATTTTTACCGGATTTTGTTTCTTTAAATACTCATGGTTTTTGTTGTTTTGTTTGTTTTTGTCAAGTCACCTTCTGGCTCTTTTGCCTTTGACCCAAGTAAATGTTCCCTTTCCTATTTTAAACACCTCTGTCTCTGAGTCTTCCTATGACACCAAAGCTCTTCCTTTATCTAGTCTGAAACTGACCAGCAGCAGAAATATATAACACAATTCTGTCACATCTTAACTACCTCCACAGTACATCCTAAATCCATCTACCTGTCTCCATCCCACTAGGACTCTCCTGGGCTAAATCGGCACCATTACTTGCCCAGACTGTTGCAATAGCCTCTTACCTGGTCATCTTGTCTCTACTCTCTCACATTCTCCTCACTGTAGTCAGAATGACCTTACAAAAATGCACAGCACATCACAAACTCTCAGTTTTCCACTGTAGGTAGAATAAAATCTAACTCCTGACCACAGCCTAGAAGACGGTACGATCTGACCTCACACTACTACTCACCCTGCCACAAACTTCGTTTCCCTTCGCTCTCACACACCCTCGCTTCTACAATACTCAAGCCACATTGGCTTTCACTGAATTCCTCGGATCCAGCAAGCTCAATCCCACCGTGGGGGTTTATACATGCCATTCCCTCTGCCTGGACACTCTTTCCCCAGATCTTTGCATGCCTCATTCCTCATTATCATTTAGATCTCAGTTCACTATCAACTTCTCAGAGGCTTTCCCTGACTATCCAAACTAAAGTAACCACTTCCCCTGTTAATCATACTTTATTTTTCTTCATAGTCCTTACCAGTTGAAATTATGTGACCTATACATTAACTGTCTGTTGTCTGTCTCCATCCCTAGAATGTAAGCTCCATGATGGGAGAGTCCTAATCTCCCATCTCCCGTGTTCAAAGCCATACCTGAATACGACAACAGGGCTTGGAACACAATAGGCTCTCATTAAAAATGTTGATTGAATGGCTTAATGAATCATCCCTGTCTCTTAACAAACACATAGGTGCTATACTTATTTTAAAACCCTACCCAGAGCAAAGAGAAGGGACAGTCCCCTCTGTAGCAGCAATGTTTTTCAAATTTTATTGTGTGTATTATTTTCAGGACTCAGCCTGCAGATTCCAATTTTAGAAGCTTCAGCAGAACTCAAACACCTTTTAACAAGCACCCCAGATGACTGTAATGAAAATGGTCTGTAAAACACACTTTGAGAAATATCCTTTTATGACATTCCTTCTGCCCTAAAATGACAATGAAATCAAAACGTACCACCATTCCCATGGATAGCAACATCACTATCCTCTTCCTCTCCTCTATTCCATTCCCCCATTCCATTCCTGCACCATTCCTGCCCACCCCACCCAAGATACCCCAAACATACATGCTTAGTCCGTCTACCACAAATGAGCCTAGGAAAAGACTGTTCCCAGCAAAACTTACAACCCAATTCCTTGTGCCCTGCAATGCGCATGGCTGTAAATCAGGAATTTTAGAGAGGGTCTCAGTGTCTGTTTCTAGTCCTGAAAGCAAATACGCAAGAAATTGTTTGGCTTTGTTGTTTTATTTTGCTGGGGTGAACATTTTTAATAATTTCTTGTCTCATGGAAAAAGTAATATATGTAAGTTACTAAAATTTAAATAAGTACATGTAAAAAATACAAAATAAAAAATGCCTCATAATCACCCCAACCTCAGGGATAACTTCAGAATTTTTTTATACATATACACAATGTTTCTAATATGGAGCCAGGATTGAGAATCTCTATTTCAGCCAGTCACACTAGGGAATGAAATTAATCTAAGTCAAGTGGAAGTAAAATAAAGCTCACACTCTATAAAAAGTGTTATTATCTTAGTCTGCTCAAGAAACAAACAAGTCTCACCAGTGTTTAAACTTTTGCATTACAAGCCTTTAAGGAGCTTATAAACCTGTCACCAGTCTAATGTTTATTCCAGACTGGGAGCACCTGGCCGGCTCAGTCTGAAGAGAATGCAACTCTTGATCTCCTGGTGGTGAGTTTGAGACCCACGTTGGGTATGGAGATTACTTAAATAAATAAAACTAAAAAATAAATTCTAGGCTGTCTTAGAAGACAAAGAACTGAGTTTCTGAGATTTGAGGAAAATCTTGGGTCACTGAAAGAAGGTAAAGAGCAAACAACCAGTTAGTGCATACCTACCAAGTACAAAAGACTAGTCCTAGTCACAACTGCAGTCAGCTATGAACTAAGTGGAGTATGAACCCCTCGTCATCAGACCCCAAGCTGGGACTGCAAGTGTGCAAAAGAATCAAAACCGTGGAGTCCTGAGGGGAGTGACCAGGATACAAGTGGTGCAAGCTATTACTCTGCTTGTTGCCAATTTCAAAGCAGGTAAGTAGCGAAGAAACGGCCTTTGTGGGAATCAAAACAACACATGGTAATAGTTCCTGCAGATCTACTACTGTGTATACTACCTGTGATGGGTGAATGGAGGGAGAAACAAAACAAAACAAAACAAAAAACAAAACAACTCCCTAAGAACATGCAAGAATAAAGTTAGGAGCAACAAATCCTCTTCCACATAGGACTGAAACTGAGTGTACTCAGGTCAGCAGCAGGAGGTCCCCACACACGGCTGCGCTCCTCCCCTGGCCCGGGAGGCTCCCCTCTCCGACAGCGGCTGCACCCTGGCGAGTTCTTATAGTAACCTCAGCGACACATGCAGCGTGCTGCATGCGCCAAGGAATTCGCTGGTACTACATAACTGGGCTCCCCGCTTCTTCCCGAGTAACAAAGGCACATATAGATTTTAATCTATGGGCTCACCTGCAATTTCTGCAAGACCTGCTTGACTTCCTCGTCTTCATCAGCCATCATTTCCCAGCCACTCTCGGCTTCTCCGCCCCGAACTTGGTAACCACAGAGACTCATACCCACCCCCATCGTGGAGCCAGAGCGACATCTAGGGCACTGGAGGCTTACCTGCACCTGAGTAGAGGAGCTGGTGTGTTACGTGGGTTTGGGTTTTGAGGGGTTTTTTCATGTATCCAAACATTTTTTTAAATTAAAAAAAATATTAAAAAAATATATGGACTCATTATATGTTTAACAAATTAAAATGGTGATTTCTGGTTGCAAGAAAAAAGACAAAAAAAGTTTTCTTATGAGAATCACTATAAAGTTATAATGTAAATGCATTTTTTATTGTGAAAAGGCACAAAACTTCCTTTATGGACAACTTGTCATTTATCCACCATGTAATATCAAATACACCTGTAATCCGTAAAGTAAATATGATTCTATTGAGGGGAAAGAGCCAAATCAAAGACATCGTTGAGGAAAAACAGCATAGTAGACTATGAACTCTACAGAGGACAAAGGCCCTAATTTTACATATTTTTAAACTCCCTTGTTCCTGACAAGGTTCTCAGAATATAGTTTCTCAGTTAATGAGTAACAAATAGACTTACTGGTTAAATTAGCAACTCTGGAGCTGCCTGACAACAGTATAAAATAAATGGATAATTCAGGAGTAACTGGCTTTTGGACTTTAATTTTAGTTATTTGAAACAACATAATTTAGTACCAAATGTTTAAACAACCATCATAATTGCTAAACTGTGAAATCAGCATTATTTATATCTGATCAACTATACAAAACTCATCAATTTTTCTTAAAAAAAGCGGGGGGTAATAGAAATCCCAAAGAATAAAGGAGAGACTACTAATTAGGGGTCACATTTACTAACCTAGCACCATAATTCCAGTCTTGGGCCATCCCAAGTGGCTGGAAGGAGGAAGGGAAGCGGTGAGCATGTTGGAAAAGGGTAGTTCTTAATTTGTGGCCCATTTGTGCTCTAAGGCAACACAGATCTAGCAGAGAGGAAAATCACTGAGGCTGGAATTTAAAACAAAAGCTTTTGGTTCAGATGGTAAGGAGTCACTCAAGAAAGGCAGCATCAGTATATCCAGAAGGCAGTGCTAGAGTCTGCCTCATGAACTAGGGGGTTTCTTCTTGACATCCAAGTTCTTTTAATTTCTACAAGTTTTTTTAGGCAGGTGTGGTATGCCGTAATTCTGAGCCAGATACATTCCAACCACATTGCCAAAAGTACATCCCAGCAGGACCTGGAGCAAGGTTATCTGCTAGGAGGGCCCGAAGCATGGCTAGGAACTGGTTTTCAAGGAAGGGCACTGCTGCAAACCAACTTAACCCAATGCCTGTAGCTCAAAGGCGATTCTCTATAATCACTTTTGAGTTCATAAACTTGTTTCTTTCCCAAATCATGGAAACCTCTAATATTCTCAACTTAATTGCACATATCTTTTTTGTTCTATATCTTTCTACTTATACCAAGATTGTACCACCTCCCCCTGCCAAAAAAGGCGGGTTAAGACAGTGTATGCCTGTGTTGTAAGTTTAAAATTTTAAGGGAAATGTAGTACAATGGTAAGGTAATTTGTCTGAATATTTTCCAGACTTGACAGTTATTTTCTATATCAGAGGGATTTCATCATTTTGAACACACTATCTTAATAAATCTGCTCACTCGGGATGGTATCATGAAAGCCATAACTAATAAACTAATAGTATGTCAGGACACTAATAATGCCAACATAATGATAGACTATATCTAGGACCTATAAGAAACAATGACTGTCCCTGTAAAGGGAAATGGGGACCAAGAGTTGTCAGTAGGCAAAGAAAATTCTTTTGCTGGGTACACTTTTGAATTTATCATGTGCACGTACTATTTAAAAATAAACATAATTTTTACATAAAATATTAGTTGCTTCCACATAGACTATCTCTGAAAGATACACAAGATACTGCCAACAGTAGTTGCTTTCAGAAAAGTGAAGTGAGTGACTGGGGGACAGGGGTGAAAGGTAGACCTCACTCCATGCCTTTTTTACACCTTTTGTATGGTGACATGTGAATATATTAAACTCTTCAATAAGTAACTTTTTCAAAGTAGCATGTAATGTCCTAAGAAATTCTCTTTATTTTTTAATTATAGCTTACTTGTATTTCAAACTGATCCTGTAAACCTAACACAAGAAGCAAAGGCTCAAGGCAGAAATCATGAATACACATGAAGTTATTTCCCCACACCATTTTCCAACAAAATTTAAAACTGCATAGGGAAGAAAAATACTTTGTAAGGTAATCTATAAAATCTGTGTTAACAGCTATGAACTGGGAAGAGATGTTTCAAAACTTTTAAGTCAGCACTTTTCATCCTCTTTCTCAGACACCATTTTAGCTTTGGGATATAGTAAAAAATGTTTCTGAAGAGATTTAATATTCTATACTACTAAGGAAGAAAACATTACTTGCTATCAATTATGTAAAGCAAAGATATTCACTTGTCTTTCTATGACTAAATATAAAATATCCTCAAAAGCTTTCAGTATGACTTTATTATCCCAAATTACAATGGGATTTGGTATTTAGATAATTCTACTGTAATTCTTCCCAAACCAATAAAAATAAATAATGAAATTTAACAGTTAGAAAAGGTTTACAGGATAATTTAATTCAGTCCCTCATTTCCAGATATAGCAATCCCAGAAAAGTTTAAACTCAAACTCACAACCAATGTATGGGAAAAAACATAACTAGATCTCAGATGTTCCGCTTCTGCAACCAGAATGCTTTCAAGTCATGCCACTAAGAGGATGTAAAGTAACTGAAAATATTCTTCAAATTTCTTTCTTGGCTCTATGTTTGCTTGTTAGTTTGTTTTTTAAGATTTATTTGAGAGAGCGCGCGCAGGGGAGAAGGGGTGGAGGGCGAGAGTAGACCTGAAGCAGACTCCCCACTGAGCACAGAGCCAGACCCAAGGCTCTATCTCAGGACCCTGAGATCATGACCTGAGCCAAAATCAAGAGTCAGACAGTAAACCGAAGAAATCAAGAGTTGGACACAACCCACTGAGCCACCCAGGTGCCCCAGCTCTACGGTTCAAATAAGTTATTTGTGATAGTGATCAGAAATGCTACTTAATAAAGGAAAACAAGGAATAAGTCTTTAAAAGTATTTTAATTAACATAATCTCTTGAGATCAATAACATATTGTAAGTTTTCTGTGGTAAGAGTGTATTCCTAAATAAGGCACTTCTGGCAAAAGGGTAAAGTCATTTCATTTTAAAATAAATGCCAAAAAATCACCTTTACAAAATAACTTTATCACTGTGAATCATTTTTAATTAGAAATACAGACAACAAAATTAAAAAATAGAAAAACAGACAACATACAAGCATCAAATTGTATTCTTATTCACCAACATGAGCACACCTCCAAACAAATTAATACAAGGGCAGATACATAAATATATACAAATAAAGGAACGTACCCAAATAACAAGCTACAGCTTCACCTGCCATTTCCTGAGACCAAAATCTTCACATAAATATGCTGGCAAATACAGCAAAATATCAATATAAAGGAAAACATATATGCATATATGCATATACCAGAACATAAAGTGACATGTAGACATATAACATACGTGCTTATATACATATACATAAACACCTAGTTCAGTCGGAAATAACACAGAAAACAAATGGTGATCTACAAAACAAGCAGTAATACTGTAACCTTTTCACTACTGGTGAAAACTCAACAGTCACAATAAATTTGAGTTTAATATAATGCTCACACTTCAAATTATGGAAACAGAAAAAGAAGCCAGACCCTAAAGCCACTCCTGCTGACACTGAGTTCCTCATAAGTTGAAAATGTAATAGCACACAAAGGTTGGTGATTCTCATCCTAAATAGAATAAAGATTATTTGCTAAACGAGATCACTAAGAGTGAACAGAGAAATATTCTGTAAAGTGAGCTAAATTCTTTTTACTTTAAAGGCCCTGCTAGAGATTTGCTGCTGCTCTAATTCACGACTTGGAGAGGCAAAACTAAAAAAGCTGTTGCTGGGTTCAGGTGCTGTGGGAGATCCCACAAAAAACGGTCTGAAGTGAAAATCTCCATCTCCACCACCCCGATTTCGAACCGGTGTACTGTCCAAAGGAAACTTGGAGTTGTTCCCTAGGAAAAAAAAAAGGGGGGGAAAACAAGCATCTATTTCCTTACAGATCTTTAGGAACAAAAACACAAAATTATTTAATAAATATTTTAACAGAACTCAACTCCTATGAGACAGTAAAATATAAACCTAATGTTGGATAAAGAAAAGGGCTATGATGGCTCCCACTCCCTCCCATGACACAGTACATACCATACTTTCTGCTGTGACGCAGTTTCCAATAGCCATGACCTCATCACCAAAAGTAATTTGACACAATGAAATATGTTTTTAGTAAAGCTAGAACTTATAATTCATAATTTTATTCATTATCCATGTAATCTACTTTAAGGAATATTCTGTGTGTATAAAACCTTTTATCCCAGGTTCTTTAAGAATAATTTTTCTTTTAAAGATTGCCATAAACACTCTAGAAAATATAGGACAACTATGAAAAACTGGCATATACTCATGATCTAAGACCAATTAGAATAACCTTAAGAAAAATCAGACAATAGATCTGATTAAATAAACAGTTAACAACTTCCACCGAGCCATTCTTTGGCTTCTACAAGTTTTTGTTGTTGTTGTTAAGATTTTATTTATTTATTTGACAGAGAGAGACACAGCGAGAGAGGGAACACAAGTAGGGGGAGTGGGAGAGGGAGAAGCAGACTTCCCGTGGAGCAGGGAGCCCAATGCGGGGCTCGAGGGATCATGACCTGAGCCGAAGGCAGACGCTTAACGACTGAGCCACCCAGGCACCCCTGGCTTCTACAAGTTTTAAAGGGAACATGTAACTAAAGGAGAATGCAGACTATACCTGCTTCAAGCCAACAACTGTAGCAAGAGGTGAAAGTAAAAAGGTAAGTGTACATAAAAAGTGGAACAGGAAAGAACTAGTGAATATGAAAGAAATCAAAATAAATGTGGATCGTAACAAGGAAAAAATATCTACAATGTTAATATACAGTAACACTTTGATTGACTAAATTATAATTATGACTAACTGAAAGTTAAGCAAAAACTTGTTTTTGTTTCAATTCTTCTATCTGATACACCTCATCTCATTACTTCCCGCCCTTTCTAGGACATCTCCTCCCCCGCTAAATCTTTTTCCTCAGCCTATAATTTAAAAAAACATATATTTAGGAAAATCACGCACAAGAAACCTCACTTTTTTATATGCCAAAAATAATTTATATTAATAGCATAGCAAAATCTATTGGATTCTGTTATATTAAGAGTAGTATAAAGAGGAGAACTCAGGAAGACATATGAGATTCATTGCATTTGCCAAAGCACCTAGAGAGCAAAAAAGAAGTGGTATCTTCCTAGATTGTACACTTCCAGAAGGCAGGAATCTTATCTGGATAATCCTTATATTCTCATTGCCTAGAATTATGTCTAGCAGCCTAGCACATGAAATATGTTTGATAAATATTTGATAAATGAACAAAAGTGAAACAACCAAACAACCAACAATAACTTAAGAACTGTGCCATGTGAAAGAAACTGAACATGGCCTTCTTGAGGAAGGAAATGGTTGTGTGGGCTCTGAAGACAGTTTTGTGACCTTGACCAATTTACTTAAACTTTCGATGACTTAGTTTTCTCATCTGTAAAATAAGGATAATAATAACTACATCACAAAGTTTTGAAAAATAACAGGAATATGTGTAAAATTGTAACAGTGCCTAGCACTTAGTAAGGAATCAACAAATGGCAGCTAATACTCTTATTACCCCAAGGAAGTAGCTTTTCACTTAAAGTACCAATCTGCAAACTTTTATTTTGGAGAGATTTATTCTCTGTTTACACTGAAGATGCAACTTCACCACAAGCGAATAAAATAGATAAAAGCGAAGATGTACATGTTGAGACATGGATGAAGAATCTGAAACCTATACCACTCTAGGCCTGTGGAATCTCCACTGACTTCCTGGAACTGTGCAGAACACAATGTGAAAGATTTAAAGAACACTTATTGGATATTACACGTCCCTTCTTACCTGATGGAAAGCCAAAAACACCACATTGTGCAATCATGGATGGTTCAAGGGTACTTTCCTGGTTAGCAATAGAGATGTTTCGCAGCCTAAGGCTATCATAGAGGCCTTGGAGCTTTTGATACTGACGATTTCGCTCCATAAGTTTCTCAGAGATGTCACTGAACTTTTTCTTATATTCTTCTAGCACTTTCTTCATGGAGGTGACCTCCCCCTTCATAGAGGTCAATTCTACATCCTTACTCTGTATTTGCTGAGTATATATCTTCTCCATCTGTTTCAGATGGCCCTCAGCCTTGCTGAAATTATACTCTTGATAGAGACGCTCCTGATGTACCTGTCCCCAAAAAAAGATTTTTAAGTTATATATTGTAAAACTTTAAATGCAAAAGAAAAAGAAAGACTTACACTGGGATGTTATTAATTTAACATTTAGAACCAAGTTAAGCACATCAAAAACTAATGATGTAATGTATGGTGACTAACATAACAATAAAAAATTAAAAAAAAAAAAAGAACCAGGTAAGCAAACTAGATGTACAATAGGATGGTTATTATAGAAAATAATACACTGTGTCACTAACTGCATAGGAAAACATTCTGGAGGAATACTCTCAAACTGCTATCATTATACTAACAAAAGAAGTATTTGTCTAACCTTAACAAGTGACATGGAATCTTAAGGTTTTTAAGAAATAATTTCATATTTCAAGTAATCCACACTGTGGAGAACAGATTGTAAAATAGCCTCAAATCATCCCTGCCTCCTTGTACTTAGATCCTCCCCTTGAATGTGGACAGAAACTGTGACTAGAATACAGGAAAAATGACAGGATGCTGCTTCATGAGTACATTACATAAGACTATAAAGTCTGCCTGAGTAGCACATTCTCTCTCTTGCTGGCTTTGTAGAAGCAAGTAGCCATGTTGCAAAGGCCAACAAGGCAAGTAACTGAGAGCAGCTTTTGGGCAATAGCCAGCAAAATACTGAGGTCACATTGAATCTAAACATAGACTGTACAACCTTCACCAAAATTAACTCAATATGAATCACTGACCTAAATGTAAACATAAAACTATAAGATTCCTATAAAATAACAGAGGAGCAAATCAATGATCTTCGGTTTGATGGTGACTTTTTAGATGCAACACCAGCAAGCACAAAGAATTGATAAGCTAGACTTCATTAAAATTAAAAATTTCTGCTCTGCAAAAGACAATGTCAAGAGAATGAAAAGACAAGCCATAGACTGAGAGAAAATATTTGTGGGGCACCTGGGTGGCTCAGTCATTAAGCGACTGCCTTTGGCTCAGGTCATGGTCCCAGGGTCCTGGGATCGAGCCCCGCATCAGGCTCCCTGCTCAGCGGGAAGCCTGCTTCTCCCTCTCCCACTCCC